TTCATTATTATCAGGAAGTCCTAAAAACTCCCTGAAAAGCCTTCAGCTAATCCAAAATGCTGCAGCAAGAGTCCTGACAGGGACTAGAAAGAGAGAGCAGATTTCCCCTGTTTTGGCTTCCTGTTAAATCCAGAATTCAAAATCCTGCTCCTCACATACAAGGTCTTAAATAATCAGGCCCCATCTTATCTTAATGACCTCATCATGCCTTCCTACTGTACTTTTAAGATTAGACTTCAAACTTAAGCATATAGTTAGGGCTGGATCAGCTGACCCTGAATCTTCCTTTGGTTATGCTGTAATAGGCGTAGGCTGTTAGGGCCTTCCCATGATGCATTGGTGTTTCTTCTTCATTTACCTTTTTCACTCTGTCTTTATACACCATCCATCCATTTTCATCTGCTTTTTCGGGGCCGGGTTGCAGCAGCAGCTTAAGCAGAGAAGCCCAGACCTTCCTCTTTCCTTCAGTTGGTCCAGGGGAACACCAAGACATTCCCAGATTAGTTGGGAGATATAATCTCTCCAGTGTGTCCTGGGTCTGCCCCAGTGGGAGATACTCAGAACACTGCACCCACCCAGGAGGCATGCTTGCCAGATGCGCAATCCAGCTCAACTGGCTCCTTTCGATGTGGAGCAGCAGCTCTGCTCTGAGTCCCTCCTGGATGGCTGAACTCCTCACCCTATCTGTAAGGGAGAGGCCAGCCCCCCTGAAAGCTCATTTCTGCTTCTTTATTCGAAATCTTGTTCTTTCAGTCACTACCCATAGCCCATGAACATAGGTGACGGTAGGGAAATCGAGAGCTTTGCTTTTACAGACGTAAATATGCCTAAAAGCCTGAAACACTCCAAACCATCAGCTCAGCTTAACAACAAACTTTGTTGCTTGAAGTAAGACACATCTTTGTGTGTGGCTTGCAGTTTAAAACTCCAGCATTATTATTACCGAGTTGGAGAAATGTCGAAATCTCCCCTTCTCGTTCCAAATAATCGAACACTCCTAGGACCGATTGTCACAAACGCATCATAAAATAAGACGTGCATTTTCCATTAAAGTGGCTGCTGCAACCTTCATGTTTGTGCAATCATTATTCCCACAGGTTGGTCCGTCACCAGTCACACCATTTAGTCTAAGAGCTGACACTGTGCCTCTTTAGTAAATACAGACAGCAGCTGTTTAATAAAAGATATGCTGTTACACACCACATGTCTGTGAAGGTTCTCAGTCATCCAGGTCATCGTCGTCTAAGGAGCTTGCAAAGAAAAGCGTTTGGACTTCTTTAAGTTACTTGAAGATGTTTCATCCGAGAAGCTTCTTCAGTTCTAAGGTCAAATGGTGGAGAGTCCCAGATTTAAACCTAGTGGGAGTTTCCCCCCACAGAGGGACGTTGACCCCCTGATGATCCTCTAATCGCCTGAGCCAAGGTGTGAAACTGGGTGTGGGTCCCAATCAGCCAGAGTTTCGGGTGAGCTCATTGTGAAACCTGGCCCCACCCTATCATGCAAATTCCTGAGGTCAGATGGCCCAGGATGTGAGTGGGCGTTAAGGCGTCTGGGAAGGACCTCAAAACTGGATTATAGATGCAGACAGTTGGTGTCGTAAACCACCGCCTCTGTTCAAAGATGGTCGCTCACAGTGGACATAGATGCTTCTTTCACTCCTCTGGGACTCCCCACCATTTGACCTTAGAATAGGACCATAGATAAACTGAGATTAAAAAATGTGCTGTTCGAGGTAGTCAGAGTGGACTGAGATGAGGAAAGACCCTAACTTCAGCGCAGAAGTGCTAGTATTAATGGTGAACATGGACCAGCACCGGTGTGGCTTTTCATGGCCAGTGTTTGTAGTTTTATTGTTGCGGGTGCTTCCTGATTTGGTCTGACATGCTGTTTGTAGGCGGTTAATACCGATGACGTTTGCAAACACAAACTGTGCGGTGTTCTCACAGCTTCTGTTTGCCTGTGTTTAATTAATGTTGACCTTTAACCTTGGCCTCATACTTACACATACTTTGTGTAGTCATTAAAGGTCAGTATGCTGTACCTTTACAGAGACGCTAACATGTGCAGAGAGGGATTAACACTGATGCTAATCTGATTAGGGTTTGAGGTTTATCCTTTAACTCCAGCTGCCGTGTGCAGGAGAAGTGGCTTTAACTAACCAGCACTAACTAATCACACGAAGAGGGCCGAAAACCTGAAATACATGCTGAAGGAGACGTGTTAGACTCATTCCTGTCAGATGATCATGAAAGTGTTTAAATTTTCATGTAGTTTCCACCAAAATATCGAAACTCAGAGTCCAACATCAGATAACTAGGAAACATTTGGAAGGACCCTGGTCTTGTTAGAAGAGACGGCATCCATCCTGCTGTGGATGGAGCAGCTCCCGCCAAATTTATTAAACCCGCCAAAACGTGACTATCCTGAGTTGGGACCAGGAAGCAGAGGTGCAGTCTTACAGGTCTCTCTGGAGTTTTAAGGAATTGGGTAAACTCATGAAATCTGTTCGATCTGTCGCTAACTTTCTTGGTCACCTGACTAGATGTAGTTTTGACATCAGCACCAGTGACAACGACAGAAGTAAACTCACTACTACGTCTCAGTAACATCACCTAATTTGTTCCAAATAAAAAGGTTTTTAAAAATGAATCCTTGTGTATTTAGTTGTCAGCGTGACCACAATGTAATATAAGCCAATTAGACTCCAAAGTTAACTGACTGTTATTCCAAATGTAATGATGGGCGATCGTGGCTCGAGAGTTGGGAGTTCGCCTTGTAATCGGAAGGTTGCCGGTTCGAGCCCCGGCTCGGACAGTCTTGGTCGTTGTGTCCTTGGGCAAGACACTTCACCTACCGCCTACTGGTGGTGGCCAGAAGGGCCGATGGCGCGATATGGCAGCCTCGCTTCTGTCAGTTTGCCCCAGGGCAGCTGTGGCTACAACTGTAGCTTGCCTCCACCAGTGTGTGACTGGGTGTGTAAAGCGCTTTGGGGTCCCTAGAGGGGACTAGTAAAAGCGCTATACAAATACAGGCCATTTACCATTAATGAATAACTTTAACGAAGTTACAAACAATACTGAGTTCAACTAAGAATGTCAAAAACATCAAATCTACATTCAAATTGACCAGTTTATAAAAAACCCTGACGAAGCATGCCAGAGCTCCTCGGGCCGCTCACTCCAGAGCTGAGTGTGAAAAACAGCAAACACTCGATCACCTGGGTGATTTGACTTACTGAGTCAAATCTGCAGAGCAGCAAGCTGGAGCAACATGTTCAGGGTTCCTGGAAAGTTTGGATAGCAAAGCGTATTAATTCCTGTTAAAAGACTGTTACAGTAGTCTGACTCAAAGCATGCGTGGTGGTCTGAATGTAAACTCATTATTGATCCTGTGTGATGTCATTGAATGTTGGGGGGGTGTAGATACCTGCAAACAGAGCAGGTATCTACACCCCACTCTTCACTTTAAAAACTGTAAACAGCTCCGTCGACACTTTGAACCGTGAGCATGTCAACTAAACGCTAGCATGAGTTGTTCCCACACTTCATAGCTGATTTCAGATCAGTGAGTCACGCAAGTCTCAGGAGGAAGCTGGCGAAAAGCCGTGCAGGTACAGCCGGGATTCAAACCAGGAACCTTCTTGCTTGGAGGCATAACCACTGTTCCACCCAATGTGATTACAGCTGAGTCTGTTGTGGCTCCAGTGTCCATCTGCTGCACAGTCTGAATGTCCTGGTTCATGTTCTGGTCACGTTACTGCGCCTGTGTAACCCACTGAACTTTAGCGTGTTTCACGTATGTTGTGAGACGCTTCCTGTCCGACTCTCGGGGCCTTTTCACTGACACAAATGAAATCAATTAGCATTTAGTCTTTGCTTCATTACAGCTGTTACATTTATCAATAATTCAGGCAGGACTTCAGCTTCCCAAAGGAACAATTAGAGAGCCAGCGGGATCACCGTGTCCTCTGTGTGTTTGCAGAGGGGTCCAAACTGTGGCTCGGGGTGCCTGCAGGAGGTCATACAATGACTGGCAGGTGATCGTCTACTCTTCCTTGTTTTGGTGAAAGATAACGAGCTGCTCACGTTTAAAATGAGTGAAACACCAACAATTTAAATGTAGTCGGAGAACTTTAAAATAATTTCATCAGCAAACAATTCAGATGCTGCTGCACCAATCACAAGCTCTGTGTGAAGTGAAACCTGTGGACAGAGTTCATCTGACAAACTGAAGTTTGTGAAAATGATGAAGAGAGCAGAGTAAGGAGCTACAATGTCTGTCTGTGACACAGGCAACAGGAAGTCGGCTCAGAGGTCACCTGTGTGTTTGTGATCAGGTGTGTGTGTTCAGGTGCGTCAGACTGACCAGTGTACAGAATCTCTCAGGTGGGTTTCCGCAGGTGATCCCAGGGGGGTCAACTCTGATCTGCATCACCTCCTTCATGTTGGTTGGGGGCGGCTGACAGGCGTAAAACTGAGGCCCCGCCTTTGAGCCACGCAGAGATCGACAGACATCAAACTGACACCGTCCACACGGCAGCAGGAGGGCGAGGAGGGCGAGGGCGTGTGAGAGGGACATGATGAACTGTCAGGCAAACAGGAAGTTCAGCTGAAGGTCATGCCATAGTTACAGCTTTGCCGGGCCTACTTCAAACAGGTGGCTACCATGGCAACCATCTGCTTTCTGTGTGGTTGTCATGGTGTGCTAAAGGTTTTGCTCGCCGCCCACAGGCCTGCAGTGGAAGAACAGAAACAGAGCATCAAACCTGAACCAAACATGTTCACAGACAGGAAACAATCTGCTCAAAATGACCTCACTTCCTGTTTGCAGCTGCCACCTTTGGGCACAGGCTTGTGTTGTCTCCGGAAGCTCGCCTGTGCATTCAAACCAATTATTCATAAATATTTTCTACGCTGTTGCCTTCAGCCGAGAGCTTTCACGTGTTTTACTCCTTTAATAAAGGAGGCGCTGCTTTTGTTCAGCCTGGAAACGTGAGGAGCAACGCACAGACCGGTCACTGAGCTGAGCTGGAACCAGGCGCCCCTTCATTATGGACAAACTGTGAAGAAGTCAGAGACCGGGCAGGCCATTTCTCCCCATCACATCTCACTGTTACTGGTCATGTGACCGTTGAAGACTCCCAGCAGGACAACCGAACCCTACAGGACCTGAGTACTCTGAGCTGTGATTGGACAAGTCCGCACAAACCCCAGTCGAGACCTGTTCTCCCACCCAAACACGCAGGGAAGCAAGGCTCACATCCACCGGAGAAACGCCGTGAACCTTGGGACCCGCCGCCCCTCGCCCACCACCTGTCACTGCGGACAGCTGCAAACTGGGGCAGTATCCAGCCCCGCCTTCCTGGAGTCCAGTTCCACAGCTGGAGCCGAGCACCGTGCCATCTCTCAGCCTCAGGCAGGGAAGTACCACAACCCACAGACAACGACCCCCCCCCCCCAAAGTGACGATCTTTGTCGCCAAGTTGTTCCTACCAGTATAAACACCCTAACCAGCGGTGACCCTGGAGCACTGACCAGCTACTGAAAGCATCCAGATGTTTGTGACCTGCCGGTTCACCTGAAGCCTTTAATCAGCCGCCATCATGCAGGAGCAGGTGTGTAGATGTTGCTCAGCGTCCTGCAGCCTCTGGAGAAATAAAGTGAGACGGTCCGAGCTCGGCGAGTCTGTGTTTGTTTGTGAGATGGCAGAGATGATTAAACTGAGACGCTCGGTCCTCCGACTCTTCCTCTTTATTAAAATCTTCCTGCTGATGAAACCGGAGCGGGATCCATGCCTGACACACGCTCAGCGTCCACTTCATTAGGAACACCTCCTCACTAATGTCTCGTTTACTTTCAGAAAATCATAATTTTATCACCTGAAGCTTTCAGATCAGTTTTCACCTGAGACACCTTCGTACACACCTGCTCAGGTTATTTCATCCGTGTGTCTGTCTGCAAGCACACCTGTCTGTGTGACAGTCACTCACCTGTCTGTCTTCAAGTTGATTCTTGATGAGTTGATTAAACGGGCGATCAAACATTCCTCCTCCTCAGCTCCTCTCTTCTTACTGTATTTCCTTTTGTTCTCTTCCTCTTCTCGTTAATCCTCCTCTTCCTCAGCGAGCCTCCTTCTGTTTCTCCTCTAATCCCTCTCCTCGTCCCCTCTTCTTTTCTCTCTCAGAGATCTGTCGCTCTGATGGCTCAGCCCTCCCTCTCGCTCTCTCTCTCTGGATCAGGTGGTAAAACGGTTCATCTGACGGTTGATAGCGAGGGGTGAATAACCCCGCTCGTCACATGACTGGCATCTGATCCTGACAGGAAACAAACTTTTTTCCTCTGAGAGTTAAATTATATTCTGCACCTGCTCAGGTAAACAAAGGTGTCAGTCACAAATAAATGAAATAGCCAGGAATGGGTCGATGGGCGGAGACCACGCCCCCCGGTCTGACAGGAGGTGGAGTCTTTGAGCTGATGATGTGGTGGTTCTAGTTCAGGTCCACCTGCAGCTCTGTGAGAGCCTTTTAGCCAAACGTTACATCGCTGCTCAGTAAAAAGATCCCTGATGATGAAATTATAAAATATATGCAACAAATTTATCATTGGAGCATTACAGCAAAAACGACCATCAGGGTCAGATCCTGATGGAAACTTCCTGTAATCTCAGGAATCTTTCTGCTTCTACTGGCTAGTTTGAAGAGAATTTTTAGAGCGACGCTTCCTTTGCATCACTGCTGTGCTGTCGGCTCCTTAGGACTGCCACATGTTTTAGTTTATAATATCTGAGACCTCTGAGACTTCGCCCCAGCAGGAACGCATCCCAAGCCCACCCTGTGCTTCCAGCACACCTGGATCAAGGCCACTGTCCTGCAGCGAGGCTCCACATATGAGCACATGGCCTCCTGCACCACCTCGGCTCCATCCAGTCCATTCTGACTCCACACCTAACCCCACCCTGCTCCTCACACAGCTATTGGGGGCTCCACAGAAGTCCCAGAGATCCCAGATTGTAGTCAATGTGGGAACACCTGGGAGTCCAGCTCCTGCTCTCAGCCACGGGTTGTTTCACTCACCTGCTGAGCTTGCACACGTGGCTGGCATCACTGGGCAGCAACTGAGGCACCTTTCGGCTGCTAACCCAAAGCACGTTGTGCGCTGTCAGCCCTGCGTGCTGCACAATAACATTTAATATTTAGTATTTACTGTTATTTACACTTAGCTAGATTATTGCAATGGTGTTGTGTTTATTATGTTGCTCTCTTTTTTGCTTGTTTTCTCTTCTTTTTTTCACCTGTTGAGGTCATGTCTGTCCCGTCTCTAACTACTGAAAATAAAATAAAATAAATAACAAAGGTCAATCCAATGGACCGATATGGCAAGGCCGTGATGATGCACTTGGTAAAGTAAATCCGTTGGGCATCTTGGCCTTCAGACAATAATTCTGATGGCTAAAGAACCAAATCAAACAGGCAAAAGAAAACAAACTAAAAACTGATGGCAGAAGATTGGTTAGGCCTACCCCTGACCAACTGCCACTCCCTCAGCCTGGGCCTGTTGGAGGTGACTTCCTGTTAAAAGGGGGTTCCCCGGACCTTCAGTGCTCATTAAGAATCTCAGAGGTCAGGTGATTTTTGTCTCCGGGGAAGCAGAATGAACAAGGGTCACGGTTACATGTAAACATAGCTGGACTGGCCGGTATGCCCGATGGTGATTTTTCGTTTTTATGGGCCGATGGGGTTTTTTTTCCTTTTTTCCCCATAACGGTATAAACAATGAAAGGTGGTGGATTGGCCAGATGCTGGCAGATGTGTAAAGATAACTCAGTTGTTTGGTGGTGGCTATGGTGGAGCTTCCACAGAGTGGATGAGAGAAAGGGGAGGCAGGAGGAGCAGAGACCCGAGGCGGTGAACTGAACTTCAGGTAAGAAGTTCTGACTGCAGTCTATCTGGGTCAGATATAAACCAAGTTTAGTTTATTTTCCTTGTGCTGACTTTTTACAGTCAGTTACAATAACTTGTACTGCTACTAGCTAGCATGATGGAGTTTATATACTGCTGGGTGGTGCTATGATGTTTCTGAATAGTGAACTTTATTTTATTCATAAGGTTAGTTAGTAGAGTTTCCAACCGTCCTGTAAAAAACAGAATCGTCTCGTATTCAGAGAAAATATTATGCGTTTTGTATTGAAGTGAAAAGACACACAGTTTGTCCTGAACTTCAGCTACAATGAAAAAGACAAAGCTGGAGTTATTCTGCGTCTTTGCTGCACAGCTGCCTCTTCTTCTCTCATTCTCCCCCCTCCCTCTCCTGTTTCTACTTCAATCATGAAACTGATCAATGATCAGCTGATCGTCTCTCTTGTTTGTTTATCACTTTGCGCCAGAAAGAGGAAACCAGCGGATGTCGCGTTAAACAACAGCAGCACGTTTAAGCTTGATCAGCTGTTGTTAGAATTTCTTTAATATTAATTTCTAGTATCAGCTGATGTTTGCTGGAGCCACAGCTGTAAAGCTGCTGGTCATGATGGTTTGGATATGTGGTGAGAGGGAAACATGAAGATGAAACCAGGAGATGTCCTTACTGAATCATCAGAGCTGAACAGCTGATGGAGAAACAGGTTTACCTTTTAGGTGACATGAATGAGTTGAAGTTATGAACTGTTTCTGAGAGACAAATAACACCAGGATCCTTTTCTAAGCAGCTGACAGCTGGTAACTGTGCAGGGGCGGGTCTAGCAAAGTGTTGCCAGGGGGGCAGGTAGGGCATTAACAGGGAGAGGGGGGCACAAAGAAATACTTTCTTATTCTCATTTAAAATGTCTCGCTGTTAACAAATAATTATCTGAATCTTACAACAAACGTTTTCATCTGATGTAAAATGTATAGAAATCCATTATTGTGCATAGTTTTTAGGGTCCCATCATAATTTCTTCAGAAGTAAGTACTGTACATGATGCCAGTATTTCCCACATTTTCTAGATACTGTACCAGTACTGTGTGTAAAATGCCATCAAAAAGTCAATTAAGTTTTATTCTCACCTGTCTTTCTGTCTCCTTTCACTTTTTAAAGGTTGCCATGTTAGAAAAAATATTTTGCCCTGCCGTGCTGTTTATTGATGTGGCAAATGAATTGTTTATGAAAATATATCTAAATCTGTCATCAGTAATCAGTAATGATCATGTCTCACCTCTAGTCTCCTCTGTCTTAATTTCAGGTTTTCACCATGTGTTGTGTTCAGGAGGTTAACTCGACTAACAGTCTACTTTCAGGTACTGTTTAGAATAGCAGAACAGGGAGGATGGTGCAGGTTTAAGTTTATTAGACTGATACATGTATACCAACAACACAGTGTACATCACTGTGACAGCAGCGTTTGTTTTCATTCAAAGGCTTTATGGTTTTTCCTATAATACCTGGTCTCTAGTCAAAATGCCCGGGCCGATTTTTTGTTCCAGTCCAGCCCTGCATGTAAACACCTGTGACCTTTAACCTTCTATCCTTACATTTATTTACATCATAATCCAATGACTGTAAGATTGCCTTTCCACGTCACGTTAAAGTCACGTTTTTTTAACGACTTCCTAAACGTCATCAACGCGCGCCAGCAGCCGGGGGAAAAGCAGAGAAGATGGCGGACGTGGTGAATGTTGGAGTGAACCTGGATGCGTTTTCTCACGCCATCAGCGGCATCCAGGCGCTGCGCTCCAGCGTGAGCCGCGTGTTCGAGTTCCTGAAGGACGGCATGAAGAACCGCGAGACGCTGGAGGGCCGAGAGAAGCAGTTTATATCCGAATTCCAGGAAAACCTAGAGGCGGTCAACAGAGACCTCAAGTGAGTCCAAACACTGTCCGTCACGATCCAGCCTACAGAAAAACACGCTAACCCCCAGACCAGGGTCCATTCATATTTCTGCTGATTTAAGAG